GGAAGCGGCTTCGTGGAGACCGGTAACCTGCCCTCCACGGCCGGGCTGCTGGCGTTCAGCGCCGTGTAACCTGCATTAAATCCGTCCGTGGAAGCGGAAGGTTTCTTGAGGAGCTTCTCCGTTTTTTTCTTCTTAAGACTCTTGTCTCAGGCGATGTAGTGTGAAACATTATGGTGGGAATATCATTTGGGTCTCATGAAACTGAATCAAGTTAACAAATACCTAAAACTATGTTTGGTTTGTTGGTTTGGTTTTTTTTTCTTTTAAAAGTTTTGAAAAGGTTTGAAAAGGTTTGAAGTTGTCTAGATAGTCCTTGGTTTTTATAGCTTACCATAAAGAATTCAAATCCAGGAGAAAGTAAATTAATTGAATTAATAACTTTTCCTATGCTGTGAAGGTTTTTTGTGGCTAAGAGATTTCTACGCAAGGTTCTCCTGAGTAGGCTAGGACATCAAGAGGTGTAACAGACTGTGGCTGACATGGAGAAGGCCAACATATCCTGCCTCTGCACCGTCTCTTGCAATATAAAAACTAGGGGGATATCAGACGTTGCTTAGAGGAGCTAAGCCCAAACCAAAATCAGGTGGTTCCATGTGGAATTCCTTGCTGAAGGATGTGGAGGCAAATAATTTCAAAGAGAGAAGGATTGGAGGAAAGATCTGTTGAAGTTTACTGACAGGCAAACCACACCGGCTCAAAGAAATCCCTCAAACTAGAAATAACGGGGCGCAGAGAGCACTAGGTAGAGGTATATGCCCTGCACACACATTTTTTCCTGTGGCATCTGTTTATCCCCGCTTTGGGTGACAATACATCAATTGAACCTTTGGTCCGAACAACTGTGGTTATTCTGTGGTCTGTATTTTTCTAAAAATGCAGGAAATTTCCACTAAAGTTCTGGCCAGAGAGAGCAACAGAAAACCAAATTAGCCATAATCTTTTTTGGGGGGGGGGAAAGCATTATGAGATCACTCACAAAAACGGTAGTCCTGTATTTGAGATGGGAAATGAGAAATCTCAAAATTAAAGTGGGTAATGGATAGAAAATAACTCCTTTGCCTTTAGGCCTTTGTATGAGAAAAGGGGGTGGCATCTGGGTTTTAGGGTTTTTTTTCTATGATTTTGACAGATTGATTCTTTAGTTGCTACAGTTTTAGAAGGAATTTCCATTTTATGTTTGGCTTAATATGTCTTAGCTCCATCCATCTTCTCCATTCAGTAAAGAATACCATGTCACGTAATGCACTTTATCGAAGATAAAACTCTGAGCAAAAGCTCAGCATATCTTTGTCAGAACTTTTGACTTCATGTTTTTCTAGGAAGTACAGAAGGTTTTCCCTGAGTTAGTGGTCTTTTTGGGTTGCCCTTTCAATTCTATTGTGCCTTTGATGTAAGACAAACACATGTCTTAAACTTTCTCTAGAGGACAAAAAAATAAAAATCCAGTGACTCCAAATATGGTTGAGTCCTTTTATTGTTGAATTGCTGAATTATGATTATTCCAACCTTTTTTCTTTTATAATTTTAGAATTATCCAGCATGTCTTCACTAACAGAAAAGGACAGAGCAATTGTTCAGCTGTTACTGAACACTGGCACTTGCCCACGATGCATTTTGAGGTTCTGCTGCGTAGGATCACAGACGGTTTACAGACATCCATACAAGGTTTGTTCTTTGTATTCCTAATTAGAATGTGTGAATATATGAATGCAATGTTCTTTGCACTACCTTGGAGGAGAAGGTTGTTGTGTTCTTGGACTCTTTGCCTGAGAGGAAAACGCTTTGCAAAATGAGTTATGAAAAATGACTTCTGCTACACTGTGCAATTTTGAGAAATTACAAGAATTGTTGATTGTTACAATTGTTGTGGGATAAATGTTAAGTTTGACTGTGAAAGTTGCTATGTATTCCCTGAAAACAGCAGAAAGCAGGGCATGTTACCTTCTGCACAGCATGGCTCTATCACTTTTGAAGCAGAGCAGCTATGACTGTTCCCTCTGTTCTTTTTTCTTAAATGTAATAAGTAGTAAAGGGGCTGTGGGCAGTGCAGCTGATGCAGAGGAGGAACCATCTATGCTCCAAACTTTTTTGCCTCGTATTTCCTCCTTCTTTCAGTAGAATTGGTAAGAGGTTGTAACTGAAGAATTGCAGAGCACAGGTTAAAGATAAATCTTCTTTTTTCAATCAGTCAAACACAGTGTTATTAGGCATTCTTTTTAGCTGACCTTAGTGCTGAAATTCAGTGTTCTTCAACTTTTTCCTAGCTGTGCACAATCATTCTTGCCTTTGTTCCTGTATTTGATGATACTCCTCAAATTGGTTTTGGCTATTTGCTCCTCCTCCTCCATATTGGTTCTGAGACCTCTCTCGTTGCGTAGGCCAAATAAACATCTCCATTTACCTGGTCTAATCCCTTGTCTTTATGCTTGCATCTTCTGGTGTCTGTCTTGATTCTTTCGCCTTTGTTCAAGTTTAGACTCTCCAGAATTAATTTTTAACATCTTTCTTCCTTATCCTTTTCCATTTTCTATCAATCATTTCAGAAGTGTTAATTCTGTATGCCATTTTTTATTCTTTTGCATCTCTACCTAATTTTCCTCTGAGTTGCAACAACACAGTAACTGCTTGTCTTTGTTACTGCAGACCTTTTAATAAATCTTTCTTTCTGAACTATGTCTTGCCTCTATCTCTCATCCTTCCTAAAATTCAGAGACACGCAGATAATTCTTCTCTCTCCTCACCAGCACATCCTTTAATTTTTTTAGGCTTTTCTCTTTATATGAAGTTCTTCCTCTATGTATTTAATTTCATCCTCACCTGTATCTGCTCTCATTTTCTTCTCATACTGTACTAGCCAACTCTCTTCCTAGTCATCAGGGCTAATGGAGTTGGGGGAATTAAATTCTAACATAATCTAAATGACAAAGAGACAATAAGCATCTATTTTCATTGAGTAGTGATGGGGCTGAAGATAAATGCATTTCTGTAAGTCAGGCCTGTAAAATGTGTTCACTCTTCTTGGATGATAAAGAAGTCTGTTCAGAAAAATGCAATTTCCCTGCATAACATTTTGAGAGAAATACAGCTTGGAGCTTTTTAATTGTGTAGATGTCTTTTGGTATAAATTCCAAGTTATTAATTACATACACTAAGGCTGAACTGGAATGGTTAGTACTACCTTTTAGAATTGTGTTTCTAAGTGCTTGCTACGGCATTGGAGAAAAGAGGAAAAAACAACAACAGTATGATTCCTCTGTTTGTGTTAGGATTTGATGAAGGATTTAAAAGATTTTCTGAAAAATAATCAAGAAAAAGAAGATATGGTTTGTTTTGACATAGTTGACCCACCTTGTAAGAGAATCAGACTTGAAGACACAGAAGAAGGGCCTGATGATGCGAACCACAATGGAACACTCCAGCAGATTCCTTCGGTTAACGATGAAAATACTGCGATGGAGAACTCAGCTGTGGAAGTTTGCAATGTGTGTTTGGGAATTCTTCAGGAGTTCTGCGAAGTCGACTTTGTTAAAAAGGTAAATAGCCAGTGTTTAACCTTTACGTGTACTTTTATTGGAGCCTGTGTATGTTGGGGCCTACAGTATGGAGCTGGTGATCAAAACCACCATGCAATTAAACAATTGAAAGATACTGGAAAACAAACTGAAACATTTACCTATTTTGAATATTTGAAATGTAGATGGCGCCATTCAACTATGTACTGCTTCTTGACAGTGTTTGCATTCCTTCTGTGCAGCTGGGAAATTAAATTGGTTGGTGTGACCATATTTTCCCCAGGCCTTGTCATAATGCAACTTTTTTTTTTTTTAAATAGCAGTGCAGGTGCAATGAAATGAGTGCTAGGAGCACGTTTTCCTAAGAAAAGGACTCAGATGCGTAGTTACATGAATTTAGGAGATAACCTGAGGTTAGCTGCTTAGATTACAAGGAAAAAATCACTGTAACTGATGACCTCTCTTTACTTTTGTTATACGAAGGGAGAAAAAGGAGGCGTTAAATGCTGTGCTCTTCAGCTTAACTACATGTTTCTGATATAGCATGAGTCTGTCTTTACCGTGTACTACTATTTAGAAAGCCACAGAGGAAGAAAATGTTTTGGCGATACAGCAGACTGTATATAATGGAGAAAATATGAGTTAGGAGAGAATATGGGCATAATGAGCATTGCAGACATCATCTCTGAGCAATAAAATTGCTTCTGTGACAAACCAAAATATCAGCTAGAAAAATCCGACTTGCGTTTGAGATGTTTAACAGAGTTTTAATAGAAAAGAATTTGGTTTAATAGAATGTTTATATCTAAAAATGGGACTAAACAGAAAGCATAGTATATAGTTTCTGTTGTTGCAGTTCATGATGTTTCTTTTTTGTTTCCATTGGCAGAGTATATATATTTTTACAGAATCCACTTTTAAGACTTGTTTCAGTTACTCTCTTGAGTAGCAGTGGAAAATCTGACAGCATTTGTTAAGGCACCACAAAACCTGATTATTTTATAAGGAAATTTCATTATCTCAGGTGTTGATTTCACCTTGAAAGCTCAGAGTTAGTCTTTGTTAACATTCTCCAAAAATCACTGACATTTTGAATGACTTCTCCATGTGTGTTTAAGCTTACTTCCAGTGGAGAGAGACATCTAGCCATCAGCTCTCGCTAGCCTACTTCAAAACTACTTGATGCATGTTTGGGTTCTTTATTTCCAGTGACAAACATGGTTTTTTACAGTGAAGAGGGTTTATGAATTAATACTGTGGATACCTGCTTGTTCCTGTCTTATCCCGGGACGTTAAGCATTTTTATTGTTGTAGAATTGTATCACTGCCATAAAGAAAAACATTCTGAGTCAGCTGTTCTAGCTTTTGGTCACTGTGGTGTAATTTATTGCACTAAGATTTCAGTATGCAATTGGTCTCAGCCTTCAAATAGTGAGTTTAGTTGTTTCATAATGCCGCAGCAATTAGGATACAGTTTACTAGTATCTTCTTTTTTTTTTAACAAAACAAAAAAGCTTATATTTCAATAATTTGTTAGGGATTACTCTGGTTTGTATGTTTGGCATCTGTCTGAACGTGTATTAACATGGATTTACAGTGATTATGCTAGAATAAAGACTATCCTAAAAGATTATCAACTCGGTTCCATTGCTGTGGTTTACTATTAAAATCCTTCTCTTACAGGTGTGCCAAAAGGTTAATTCCGCTGACTACCAGTTCACTAGTTTTGTATTTTCTGTGTCGCTACCCCCACAGCTGTCTGTCAGAGAGGTAAGTGTTTACAGATACTTCTTCATAACTTAAATGCATATTAAAGAAAATAACTGTGCAATGTACAAGCTGGAGGTGGTTTGATTTTTTAATTGCTATTGTTTAAAAAAAAACACAAAAAAACCCCCAAAAACCCCACGTGCTAGAAACTAAGTCTGCTCTCCCCTTCCTTTTTCGTGAGTATTATTTTAATTAATAAAGTGTCTGAGTCGCTTCAGTTTTCAGTTAACCCAGGAGTTACTTTACATCTGAAAATGTAAAAGGAGTTTCTTTAAACCTTCGGTGTATTGTTCCCTTTGGTACAGATGCCTGCTCTGCTTTGTGGATCTTCTCGGAGAAGGAACTGCACAGCTGGTGCCTTCCCTGAAATAAATGATAATTGGTAGTGCAGAATACAAATGAAGGAATTTGAAGATGAACTCTTTAACTGTTCAGCATTTTAAATGATATGAAAATGCACATTTTAATAGTCACCTGTCTTGGGCATTGTTGAAAGTCTAGATTTGTAAAACTGCAGTTTATAGCAGTTGTAAAACTACTGATTTTGATGGCAATTTTAATCAAACTTAAATTGTTTACATTTCAGTCTTTTAATTACAGAAGATAATGGTAACATGGAGAGGTGTATAACCCTGGTAAATTTTTTTTAAATTGAGGGAGAATGCTAAGCATAGTATAGCTTTATCAATAAAATGCCAATTTTTGCTTAGTTGTGAGATGTTTTATGATGTTCCCCTGCTTTCTGATAAAAAATGATACAAAAATACTGTTCTAAAGGGCAACATGTAAATCTTTATGATAGATGCCTGCTGCGGCAAGATGTAGTAGCAGCTTTAGTGAACATGGCAGAAAGAAGTGTAGGTCTTGGATTTATATATAAACCTGTGGTGAGGTCTGTTCTCATCCCACCCAGTTTGATTGTTAAATAATCTACTGCTTTTAGTGTTGATTTGTAGTGTTAGTTCTGGCATCTCGGGCAAATGCCAGTGTAATAGCTGTGTTGTGCTAACATATATTCTACTTCTAAGTTTTCTTGAACATAAGATTCTCTACCTCCCACCTGAAATTAAGCATAGTTGGTGTGTTTGCTTCAGCTGCCACGGTGTCTGGTGAAATAATACCAGAACAAATTGCTTTGTGCTTTCTGGCTGGATGAGCTGCCCTTATTCCTATTTGATTTTATCGTCATCCAAAACATGAGATATGTCAAAAAAACACTTTCAGGCTAGATGGGTATATGGATGCATGCGTGTATGCCTGTGATGCTCTGTAAAACTCCAAATGTAGGTTAAACTTGCTCTAATCTCATGCGTGGTGTAAGCTTAGGTGTTTAAAAGAAACGAGGAGTCTTATTATTTTTAGGGTGCTATTGACCAGGTCTTTTCTGTTTCCAGTCTACCTTTGCTAGTCATTACTGAGACCGTCCTTACTCTATTCATTATAGCCTCAATGAGCAAAAACCAAAGTGATACACAGAATCTTTTGGCTAGAGTCCCAAGTGCAATTCCCACGTTATCAAGTTCTTAACACATTTCCATTATGCATCTTTAGCATTATGTAGCTTAAAATTATCTTTTCTTTTTTTTTTTTTCCCCATAGCATAGCTATATAACGATGGAGATGAGGAAAGAAAAATTTGATGCTACTGCTCTTCCTCAGCCTCCTTGTGAGTCTTTGCCAGAATGCATCGGTAGAGGGTGTTATTGCATTGCAGTTCTAGCTTAGTGATGTTCTCACACTGATCTGAACAAGCAGGGCAAGTGTTTCTGTCTGCTTTTGAGGCAGCCTTGGCTGTAAACAGAAGCAAAAACCAACGGTTTGCTTCAGAGAGTTCCTTTTGCTGATTGAAATGTTGATGATACACTGAGACTGTGTCGACTGGGAAACTGACTTGTCAAATGCAGTTGGTAGACACTCAGATTTAGTACTTTATAATAACTGTCTTCTAAGTGTAATAAATTATTAGTTTGATAAAAGGGATGGCATGTAATTTTTAACCTGTCCATCTGCTTCATTCAAGGTATCTTGTCCTTACGTTCAAACAAGCAAACAATACTATAGTGCTTAGCACAACCAAAGGAATAAAAGTTGTGGCATGGGTCCAGAAATGAATAGGTGGCGTGAGATGAGTAAGCAGGAAGTTCCAAAAGCAGATCTGTTCTCTTTGGAAACAGTTTTGGTTCATCTGGGAGCAGGTCTGCATTAGGCAATTCCTGCT